ACCATGCGTGTGATACAAGGAGCCACTTACCACTGCGCCACCTACACCCATGTTTTATCATACTGACAGAATTATATTTGGCCTTTCCAACCGATGTAACCAGGAAACTTTCCACTACTACTACATCCTGTTCTCAGAAAGACCTGCTAATCTGTCATCCAATAGATTTATATTTAGTAACTGCGTGGTACACGTAAAAATATTACAGCAATAGTAATGTTGGGCGGGGAAGGTGTGCAGTTCAACAGCTGTAGCAGTAATAAAACCGTTGGCTGCAGAAACTGCGTTTTCTGGTGAACATGTCAAGGGGCAGGTTTTACGACCAGTCAGCCAAGACCTCTCAGGCTGCATGAGGGACAACGAAAGACAAGCTCTCTTTCGATCTGGCGTATGGATTCCGCTATGAACACTATCTGAACAATTTATAATTATATTCATTCAAGTAGAGCGGAGGTAGTGTAAAAGCAAGTGGCACACTATCACGGATTCGAATTCTGTATATTTGTCTTTGTCGATATTTGTCTGGCCAGCCAAGTCTTCCACCCCTCCAGGATCGGTCAATTGGTACCAGATTCGCCCGAGAGGATAAAAGCACTGAGTTGAACATCGACTGGTCACCGCAAGTCACTGTATAAGCTACGCTCGCATTGGAAACGCCACTACGATTCTGAATGGATGTCGTATGGCGGGGCGCATCACTCAGACGGGATTAATCAACACCCAAAGTCTCTCCATCTTCTTAATAACTCGAGTATGCGTACTGAAAAATGAAAGGAAGAGCCAGAATTTTCATCTGTACTATGTCGATGGAAGCGCAGGGAATCAAGGAAACGATTCCCCAAGACGGCGAAGCCATGAGGGCCCTCGACAAGCATCACGAAGAAGACTTTCGATCCTTATGAATGAGTCTCCCTGCCACTACGGTGGACGAGCCGGACTATGACTGTTTTACGTAAGCCGAGGATATCGAATAGGCTTTCAAAACCCGGTTTGGCTCGAGGTTCTCACTCAGTTGGGAAGCTCTTTTTGGATTGTATCAATGAGCAGATATAATGAATATAAGGCTGAAGATTAACAATAAGTCCAGTATTTCTATAGGCAAAAACCGGTTTTCCATTTAATCCGTCGGGAGCCGATGCATTCCACATTCAAAAAAGAGAAATCGTATGATTATGTTTGGATCGCGCATGAATGAGATGCGAGAGCCGATCGAATATCAACTTTCCTTTCTCCCAAATGAATTGATCATCAGTCGGTCAG